CACATATAGGCCTAGCTGGAGCAGACAGGCAAAGCCATGATGCTTCCTTTGCCCCTGGGACAGCAGGGAAAGCAACAGCAACAGGTGTGGGGAAGGGGAAAAGGAGAGGAGGTGGGGTTTTAACCTACTTTAGGGTCTTAAAGTCCCTGGAAACTCCTGTGGTATAGTCCAATCCAAAAGAGGGTGTAGCCTTGCAACTGCACCTCCTCTGGATCTGCCCCTTGGCCATGTATATAAAATATTAAAAGATTATTGACCATATATATATACTACTGAACATATAGTAGGCAACCATTGATCCTTCTAGATCATGGTGTGTGTGTGAGAGGACACCAGGTCCTTCAACACATTCACAGGACTATGGAGGAGCAGAGGCTGTCCAGGCCGTCCACCCCCTCTTTAGACCATTGAAACAGAATCCAAAGGCAGACATCTAATGCTTCAAGGTAGTTATATGCATATCCAGGAATCAAGCCCAGGTCTTCCTCATAGTAGGAAAGGATTCTACCACTGAACCACAACAGCAGGTCACTGAACATACACACACACAAAAACCAAACCGTGAACAGCTATTCATTCAATGAACACAGGCTGCCTTGTGCAAAGAACAAGCTAGAACCATGTGGGAAACATAGCATGTCATCATTGAATTCCAAAATATTAATTTAGGTTGCATAGAAAACCTTTTACATTTCCAAACTTTAATTGTTTAACTTTTCAATTGTGATATTCTTTTTGTCTTGTCTCCTCTTTCACATGGGAGGCACCCTGACTCTCTCGTTTATGTTGGGCCACTGGCAGCTAATACTGCAGGAGTCGAGACAGAAAGGAGAACAAGGAAAGAGGCTCGTTCTGGAGCCTAGTGGTTAGGTCATTCAACTGGGAGACAGAAGACTGGTGTTTTGGCTTGTGCTTCGTGGGTTATTTCTGGGTTTCTTAATCAATGACTGTCAAATATATAGGAGCAGAAAGACATAGCTAGCTGTGTTAGTCTGAAGTTGCTCAGGTTAGATATGCACCTTTACAGATTAATTAATGATATACACAGCAAAGAAAGCAGAGGTTTTCATGATCCCAAGATCAGTTCACCAAATGCTGTGAAAGGACTTCATCAGATGCTATGAAAGGACAGCATAGAGCTGTCTTTTCACAACATCTGATGAAGTCCTTTCACAGTATCTTTTGAAGTGAACTTGGATTCACAAAAGCTTGTGGTCTGTCTGTCTATCATCTTGTTTAGTTAGTCTATAAAAGGGCATGCCCACCCTGCCTTCTAATAAATTTCATATATAACAATCAATCTGTTTCAGGCTGGAAATATCAATTAAATGATTCCTAAAATCCTAAATGATTTCCTAAGGTGCAAATTTAGGATAGCTTGCAGCAAGAAGCAGGTAATCATGCATTAAGTTCTAACCCAGCTACATGTTCAACCAAATAATGGAGTGATTAAACAAGCTATAAGCTACAAAGTTATTCCACAAAAAATGTGTAATAATGTTGTAGTTTGTTCAATTCACATCATTAATTGAATTTGTGGCCAGGTGCTCCCTTGTCTGAGGGACTCCCAGCTACAGGGGGTGCATTACCCACTTCTAGCCCTGCAGGTGACAAGGCTTGCGATGGGGACTTGTCAGCTGTGGGACTTGCAGTGGGGGAACGCTGCCCCCCTTCCCCTGCCCCCACAAGTGTCATTGGCTGTGGGGCTCACAGCAGGGGCAGCATTCCCTTCATTGACACCACTGTGAGCCCCAGAGTTGGCATGGGCTGTGGGGCTCACAGCAGGGAAAGCATTCCCTGTAGCCCATATCAGCTACGGAGCTTGCGGCAGAGGAACACTGCCCCTGTGGGAAGCCCCACCAACCCTGTCAGCTGTGGGACTCGCAGCCACAAGAGCCAGTGTAGGGAGAGCTTGCGATCATGACCCCAGGCTCCCCCTCCTCTGGAGGCAAGGCCAGATGGGCTCTAATGTGCCATCACACAATCACACCTCCTGCCATGGCAGGAGGTGTGATTGTGTGGCTTGTGCATTAGATCCCATTCACCTCTACCTGCACATGTAGAGGGACCCTTATGCACAGTTTGTGATCCTATTCCACATGCAGTGTGGATGTGCAAGTGTCCATAAGGAAATGTGCAGTTCGCTGTGCTCTGGCTGGGCAGATACATGATAGGCAGGTACATGACTTTATAAATGCATACTTTGAGAACATAACTCCCAAGATTAGGCAAAAACTAATATTCTTCTTGAATCTGGTTTAATAGGTAGTCAAAGAGAGGGAGATGTATAGAACAGTGAGTGTGTGTGACTTAGTGAGATGTCTACTACAGGCAACCCCCTCTTAGCACTCTTAATTGGTTCCTGAAAACCTGAGCATAAAGTGAAACTAGCGTTAAGCAAAATTGAAAGTATTTGAAGACCCACGATGGTGACCGCAATTGTTTTTAATGACCCAAGATAGCAACCATGAGTGTTATAATGAAACTCGCTAAGCACTAAGTGAAATCAGGTATCAATTTCAAATGAGCATTATAGCGAAATAGCGCTAAGTGAAACAGCGTTAAGCAGGGGTTGCCTGTACTTGGATGGGAGGCGAACCTAGGTTCTAGCCTGGACCTCTCCCCCATCTGCTGACTCTCTACTTATTTTAGCAAATGAATAGTAAATGTAAGGTATAATGGCTCAGTTTCAAGAGGAGGGCAGAACAACTTGTGGCCTGGTTGTTGGACCACTGTTCAATTCCCCTCTTGGTGAGGGGGCCCTCCTACTGGCTTCGAAAATTCCCTAACCACTAAACTATTGGACTAACAAATGAGAAGGCCTTCCCCTCCTCCTAACACTTGCTGGTCATGGGGTTTTGCTCAGCTATAGTTTTGGGATTTATGTTTGTCCAGGTACATGCATATGGCTGGGGGGAAAGCCTTGACTGGCATTTCCTTACACAGCATCAATTCACAGCTGTTAGTAGCTGAAGAGTTGGAATTACCTTTACTATTTTAATTCTTTCTAAACAATTTGGTTTTCCTTTTGCCCCAACTGCTGTTTCCCTCTTTGATGTGTGTACAAAGTTGTAGAGAAACTTCAACCATGTTCATTTGAATATGCAATAGTTTCAAAACAGCAGTGCTGAGATATTCTTGGATGTTTCCCCACAGCACCTGGAATTGCAAGGAAAAAAGAAACTATTTGACAAAGGATCTGAAACATGAAGGATCTGAAATAGCATTTTACTGAATATTAAGTTCTGATAATAAAGGATAACAATGATGTTAATCGAACTAGATCTGAGGTCACATATTTCTTTTAGGAGTTTACAAGATGTATTACAGGTAATTCATTTAGACCAGTAGTGCACAACCTTTTGACCCTGTAGGCTGGCTGAAGGGCATAAGGCTAGTCCATTAGCTGGATGAGGCCCTATGCGCTAGGGTCAGGCCCTGTTCTACTGCCACATGGCCCCCTGCACTGGAACCGGGGATCAGGCCTGTGTGTACAAATTAGGTATTTGAGCAAGCATATATACAAGTAGTCATCTACATTTACTCATCCAAGTTAAATTTTGCACACTACGGGCAAGTCTACATGTCACTGTAGAGCGACGTTGCTTTGGCACCATGCTTTAGTACTTCCTTTTGTCAGTACTAAAGCACAGCACAGCACAGGTGGTTACTGCACCGTGCGTGCAGCTGCTGGTTAGATTTTTTTGCTACGTTGCTGTAGCAGCGCGCTATAACGCTATGGTGTATCAGTATGGTGAGGTGGCTGGCGATCACCTGTAGACCTGCGTGATCACTAGATTGGTGTAGTGTGCCATACAGTGATGTAGTACATTGCTATGTCATCATAGGGCGACATGTGGATGTGCCCAATGTTAGGTGCATAGAGATGTATGTGTACAATTACATATGCTTATCTTGGATATATTAATCCTAATGGGACATTGATATTAAATTCCTCCTTTCCACATAGTTATGTTCATGAACTTCAAGGGAAATGCAGATACTATAACCAGTATATCCTTGGCAACATGCAATTCATATTTTACCTTTTCATTCAGCAAGTGCAATGCTGCTGTACTTGGTTTGTTTTTCTTTACTTTTTCATGGTTTTTAAATAACAACATTTTACTCGAGATCAACATTTACCTGGCAGTTAATATTGTGTATACTGCCAATTGTTGCCCCCCTCATTAGTTATTTTGACTATTTAATATAATAATGATTATACTATTTTCAGTAGAGAATAGTAATCTCATTAGTCATGGTTGATTTTACATACAAAATTAAACTATTGTTACGGGTCAAACTAAACTTCACTGAAGTGAATTGAGAGAGTTGTGTAGCAGCTATCCTGCCTTTATGATAGCTGTAAGAAGTAGTTAATTTGCTTTATGAAACTGTCTTTCAGGGAAAAAAAGGGCAGAAGTGTTTTCACTAGCTATTGTTTTGTGAAGTTTCATGTGTATGTAGAACAGAGGCCAAATAGGGCAGAAAAGCAGAGAGAGAGAGAAAAAAGTTTGCACGAAAGAAGCTATCATGGATGAGAGCCTTTTGTGGGGGGGGGAAAAGGTGTTCTGAGAAAATCTTGAACTAAGAATTGGCTTAAAGATGCTTGGAATTGTAAGCTAAGCAACTGTGTCATGTGATTTGATTCCTTCCATAACCAGGAAAAGAGAAATTTGTGAATTCTTTGGAAAATAAAAAGCAGGTTGGTATCAAAGAAGCCCTTGATTTCATCACCAATTTTGTCTCATAATGGAAACAATTTGCAAAACTTTGAATTTTTAGTTAGTTGCTTGGGTATCTCAATCTTTATATAGCAGTATTCTGCTTCACTTCTCATATTGTGTAATGTACCTGTACCATGTGTTCAGGGGTAAATCTTTTTTGAGGCAGAAATTTCTTTATGAAGAAATTTATTCTTTATCTTACATTAGATCACTGGTTTCATTTTGCCTGGCTCAATGCAAAGCCAAGATTTTTTTTCCCCTCCTTTTAAGGAAGAAGACATTACATGGAATTCTAGAGGCAAAACAAAGATATATTTATGGAGCCTTCCTTAAAATTAGGGTGAGTGTATTTAAATTTCTCTCTCATTTGTAAGACCCTGACAACAGCTCTTTTAGTAAAAATGTTTAGTTTTTTGTAATTCAACTTAATGTTTCAGAATAGGCACTAAAATTTAGCTGTGACATTAGTCATTAGCAACTGTGTATCATTTAGCAATCACAATATGGTAAAACTATAGATGTTTCTCTTATTATTATTGGCTAATGGCCAAAGGCAAGATTAGAGCATGAGACTGAACTGTAAAACCATGAGATGGTCTTGTACTGTACTTCATGCCATTTTAAAATGTAGGGATTTCACCCAAAGACAGTATCGACAGATATTTTGATTCAGTTCTGGAGCAATCTGTTTAAATATATCTGATTTCATCTCTTCTGTTTGTAGTTCATTGCCACTGTACCTAATAGCAGAGCCCTGTCATTTGGACTAGTACAAAAAAAAAGTGTGTGTGTGGGGGGTAGTCTTTCCATGGGAAATTTTAAGGGGGTTGGAGCCTGATGCAGCCTCTGTGGCAGCTGGAGATAAGGGTTGCTCAGGTTTGAGAAACTCTAGGAAGGAGTAATATGATCATTTATATGACTCAGTGTGTGTCACACACTCACACACTCCATAATATGAATTTCTACCAACAATCTATATATCTATAGCTAGATATATTGCAATAGATATTTGGCTAAAATTTAAAATATTTTTATTTGACATTTCTTTCAGGGTTCCTCAGTTGTACTGCAGGTGTCTCATGCTCTCATTCCTTTACAGGATGAGTAGCCTAGTCAGACTATGCTTTCTCTGATATCCCACACAGAGGAGGAAGGGGGTGTACCTGGGTGTCCCTGGACATCATGAATCATGTGGCCCAAAGCTAGGAGTCCAATTTATGAAAGACAATGAGAACAAAAGGAAACCAAACTACAACTCCTATGATGGGAGCAGGATCTCATCATCCCACAGCATGATTTCCCTTACAAAAGATTTTGATTTTAAGGTATTCACTATTTCAGTGAAAAGCCAGCATTTTCTGTGGAAAACAGACACTTCCAGCAAACAATTTCATTTGGTCAAAATTCTGCTTTTCTGTCAAAATTGTTGCAACGAGGAATGTTCATTTACTCTTAACTGCTAACTCTTGTACCACCAGGTAGTTTGTTAGGGCTTTATACAGCAGCTCCCCAGTGAAAGAAAAATTACTGATACAGACTGAATATATTCTTAGTGCAATTAATTTGTTTTAAATGCATGCTCCAAACCCAGGTGATATGTTGTTGCATTGAAAAGTCAAGGTAATTGTGTCTTTAATGCTCACTGGTTCTTTTGAAAAACTTACCTTTTTACTTGTTGAGGTGTCAGTTTTCTCATTTATGAAATGAAGTAATAGTATGTATTTGTTTTCTAGTGCTGTTGTGAGGCATAACTGCATGACATTTATTAAGCAAATTGTAAATAGAAAAATCACAGCTGTGGAAAGACATTTCGGGAATCATTCCAGTTTCCTGATTATAATCCTAATCCAGAAGATTCCAGGGAACATGCTCTAATCTTTGGCTCAGGCAAATTTAAATAAACCACCCATGACAGGTCATGAAACATTTGTTATTTATACATGCAACGAGGCTTTTCTCATTAAATGTGTTCTGCATCAGGGTGGTCCAACCTGGGGCCTGAGGGCTGCATGCAATCCACAAGCACTACCATGTAGCCCACAGGCCCCTAAAGCCATCTCTTCCACTGCTGCCTGGCAGCGCGGGGCATGAAGGGCTGCTGCTGGTGCAGTCTGTGTGGCAGATGGGGACAAATATTGCTCAGGCTTGAGGAACTCTAGGAAGGAGGAAGGCGGTTATTTCAGGGGGAGTCTGGTATATGGCCAATTTGTCTGTAATACACCTTTTATAAAAACATGGGCCTGGTCTACTTATTTCATGGTTGTCTGCGTTACCTTGAAAGAAATCCTGTCCAATGGCTTAAGGAGTACCTATCTTAATATGACCAGGCTGTCATAAATTCCACTGAGGAAAGTAGATGGACAGGGCCAGAGATCTTGAGACATTATAAATAGGAGGAAATTTCATGACCATGATTCATGGAGTTGCTTTCCATGAATATGGGAAAACTCATTCAAAGACAACTCTGGTCCTGTCATCCATAAAAGAATATGTGGTTTTCATGGGGGTTTTGCTAGTTACAAAAGTATATATATAGAAGGAGGGAAAATCATGAGATATTATACATACCTAAAGACTTTTGATTAAATATATTTTTTTTTAATATTAGTTTGGTTTCTTTTAGAATTCAATAATCATCAGATACTGTGACACACGGAATTATAAAAAAAAAAAAGATCTATGCAAGGTAAATCAATATAACATTTGGAAGCACAGAAACAAATGGGATTGAATGATTGCATCTCTCTGCATTGAACTGAAACTACATTCTTCAGCCTTCTAAAAATGCGTCCCTGAAGTGTCTGAGAGAGAGAACACCTGGTGGAAGCTCCGATTGGTGTATTTTTTTTCTAATTTTTTTAGAATTTCAACTCAGAAGGGTCTTTCAGTGCTAATTAACACCATTTGACATAATTATATGTATAAACACTTCATAAGCACTGGGTAACAATGTTGAAAAAGTGTTGTACTCAATCACTTCTTACAGCACATGCCAAAATATTAGCATGACACTTGAACAACCCTGCAGTCTGCTTGGGCAAACTAATCACATATAAAAGAAACAACCTAAGGGGGATTTCATGAAAGCAAATGGAATGACTGGTGTTCTCACGTGTTTATTTGATTTACTTTAATAACTCAGCATATAAATAATTCAGAATTTTTCCCCAGCTGCTCAGATTTCATATCCAGCTACAGTAGCAGTTCAAATTTTGCTCTCTTTTACTTAAACAAACACTGCTGAGCACACGTTCCGAGTGTACATTTCTTCTTCCTTCAGTGCTTCTTCAATAACATTTCAAATTATAAATACAAATTAGGTTACCATCAGTACTTACTATGCATGATGTGAGATGTGGTTATAAAGTCAGGGAAGGGTTCTATGTTTAATGAGCTTATATCATATTTGCTCATGCTTACCAGTAAGAAGATATTTTTTCTGTCATCCCTGAAAAGTAACCCTGGAAACCAATAATCAAACTCTTCTATTCTACCCACATTCATTTCTTTATATGAGGCTGAACAGTGGTTTCTGAGTACCTACCTTCCTGTAATACATAAAGTAATATGATTAACATCTGTTGCATGGTTATTCTCTCCACCTCTCCATGTGGGGAAAGCATACACAGTGCAGTGTCTTGTTGTGCTAATTGGCTATATTTGCTCTTTTTATTTATTTGGCAGAGGACAGGAGGGGGGAAATAACATTTTGTATTCTTATTGTGGTTATTCAGTCTTTTCCCTGATTTTCAGGGATCCAGGTTTTCCGTTTGCCATGGGAAAATGTGATTTTTCTCCCTTTAAAGGGAAAAAACATGAATTTGCAAGAAACCATGGGTTTCCCTTGACAGGCTGCCAGTGTTCCAGCCTGCAAGGGTCCGCAGAGGGCCGGGGGTGGGAGCAGGGGGCAGGGAGTGCCACATGCACATGTGGTGTGCAGCAGCTCCTGCAGCTACCTCCAGGTAAGTCTATGCGGGTGGGGAGGGCACAGGCAATGTGGTAGACGGGTGGAGGGGGCACATGCCCCCCAGATTTCTGTATCCACTCTGGGACATGGGGCTGTAGCCTGGCCAGACCAGCTCCAGGCAGAAGCCACATCTGCAGCCCAGCAGGCAGGACCTGGCATGGGAGGGAGCACTGCACCACCACAGCGACCAAAATGAAATACCCCCTGCTGTCCAGCAGCAGCGGGAGGCACAGCTCTTCACTGCCACCACTGCTGGGCCTTATCATGGCAGCCATACCGGGTCCCAACTGCTGGGCCACAGAGGTGGCTCCTACCCAGAGCTGCTTCAGCCAGGCTACAGCTCCGTGCCCTGTACCCCATTGTGGGTGCAGAAATCTGGGGGGGCACATGACCCCACCTTCCCATGAACCTGTATCCCTCCACCCCCTCCACATGTCACCTATGCCCACACCCCCTACCCCATACACTGGGGGGCTGGGGGTCAAGGAGTGAGGGGCACTGGCAGGGTCAGGGGGGTGTGGGTTGAGGCTGAGGGGCACTAGCATGGGTTGAGGGGCTGTGGGCAAGGAGCAAGGGGCACCAGCAGGGATGGGGGACTATGGGTTGGGAGCAAGGGGCATTAGCAGGGATGAGGGGCTGTAGGTCAGGAGTGAGGGGCACCAGCAGAGACAGGGACAGGGGTTGGAAGTGAAGGTTACTGGCAGGGATGGGGGGGCTGTGGGTTGAGTGTGAGGGGCAATGGCATGGGCAGGGGCAGGGCACCAGCCTATCAGGGCTTCTCAGCACCACAAAGCAATATGGGGGACAACCACAACGGGACCCGTGTCCTGGTTAGTGAAGGGGGCAGGGGAGGTCTGATTTTTGATGATAAAAGAACCAAAATCAAATACCAAAATATATAGGTATTTAGAATTTATTTTATTATGATGATTGAGGCACTTGTAGGCTTCCAAATTGCTTTAAAATTGAAAAAGTATCAATAAAACATTACTAATACCTATATATATATATATATAGAGAGAGAGAGAGAGAGAGAGAGAGAGGGGTGTTTCATTTTAATCATGGAAAAATGTGAATTTGGCGTTTTTTTAATCAGAGAATTTGGGATTTTTAAACAGAAGACCAGGACTCCCTCATTGGTAAACAGTAGCCCCACTAACTTAATAAGATGTATATAAACCAAAACCCAAACAAATATTTATACTTCCCTAAATTCTCTCTATCATGGAAAAATCTCTTTGCATTCATGCTAACTGTACCTTCAAAATGTTAAATTAGCTATCAGTGATTAGTACACAGTGATGCCATCATACAAAGCACTCTTCTTCTCACACGAGTTGTCAGAAAAAAAGATGCCAAATTTAAACATCAGGCTGGTATCATCTTACATCCTCTGGCATTCCCTGCATGGTGACACTGTCTTTGTGGCATATGCAGTTATGATTCTGCATATTTAAACAAAAGAAGGCAATCTATCTTGTATTTCTGTAACAGGGTTGTCCATTTTCCAAATGGCCGGGGATTATACCTTCTATAACTCCAGGTGGAGCCCTGGGTTGTGGGCTCCCTTGGCACCACAGGCTGCCCCCCCACAGCAGAAGCCAGAGGTGGGAGAGGGAGCCTGGAGCTTCTGGTACTGCTGCAGCTGGAGCCACAAGGGGAGCAGCAGCTTGGTAGGAGCCCGGGGACTGCAAATTAATCCTTTGTAGGCAACATGCAGCCCACAGATTGCCAGTTGGATAGCCCTATAATAGAAGACAGGTCTGTTTGGGAACTTAAAAAAAAAAAGAGAGATGCTGTGGTCCTTCTGTCATTGAGAATGTACCTTTGTGTTTTCCTTATTTTAATTTAAAGGGATTTAGATTGAAATCAAATGTTTTCCTTCAGTGTGTATGTTTGTGTGCATGTGTACCTGTGTGTATATATTATTACTGTGTGTTATATTTTCCTTTGGATGCACATTTCATATTAAGTCAGAGGTTTCATACAGGGTAGAAAAAAGAGAGGTGTGGATTTTGTTTGAAGCTCCAGCTGGTTCTATGATTTCCCCCGTTTATTCTTTCTTTCCTTCTTTCTCTCCAAGGGACCTGAAGGTGACCAGGGTCAGCACTACAGACTGAAAACTGATTGAAGCTCCAGAGGAAGCAATAAGATATTTTCAGTCTTCACTCATTTAATCCTTAGCTGACTGAAAAACTAGCTGTAACTAGCAAAAGTGGATTACTGCTCTGCAATCTGGAATTGTCCACTTCTACAGTATACACTTAAACTCCTTCCACATGACTAGAAGGTTAGTTGGGTGGAGGTTGAGTTGCAGTAAAAACTAGGTCATTAGGTTAATGGAGAATAAGAAGCAGTCAATTAATTCATTAAGAGATGAAAATGATACGGGATAGATTTTTAAACATGGAGGGATATAGAAGCTGATGTTTTCCTTTGTGGGGGAGGGGGCTGGAGGGGGGGTTCAAAGAGAATATATTTTTGTTTCTCTTAGTTAAGGGGAATTTCCCCCCCTTAAATAGTAGTAATGCACTTTACTAGGCAAGGCTGTCCTTTCTTTCCTTTGTGCATATGTGCTTCACTTTTAGTGTCATTTATGAGTACACACACAGAATCTGTTATTATGAAAATGAGCAAGTATTTGTGGGCATGAAATGTGTTATCAGTCACAACTGCAATTTTCTGCCATGCGATAATGAATGCAGTTTTTGTACATGGATATTTTAATCACATTTAAATTGAACTGCTCCCTTTACCTAGACCTATAAATCAGCCAGAGATCACTTGAAATTGGGCCTAGGTTTGCTCAATGGATTCATGAACACTTGTGAGCTATTAGGCTGAGCTTTCAAGTTTAAAACCCATGAAGTAGGTGAGTTTTATTATAAGCATTTTATGATGCAACAAAACCCACCTAATTCTATTGGTAATTTTATACTTTTAACCAGTTGCTTGTCTAAGACCAGGTTGACAGAAGTTTTCATGATATTAAAAATACATAGGAATACATGAAAAGAGAATATGAAGTGCTACAAACAATGCAGTACACGTGCAGACTGTGCTAATAATTACTTATACTTTAGTAAAACTGCATATGTTTCTCTCTGTCTCTCTCAAAATAAACAATACTTTGTCCTAATAGTAGAATAAATATAAAATGGTGGCAAAATACATGCAGCTATGGTAAACAGACAAAGCTATAACAATCACTTTTCATGCCTCTCCCTTCCCTGTTCTCTTCCCAAAATGCTCAGGCTTAATAGCAGATGGAGATAAAGATGCTTTCACAGACAAAAGAAATTACTTCAAGATGGACCACATTGGTCGTTAAAAGAGAGGTAGTGAATAAATAACACAATAAATTATGTTCTGCATTAATCCAGAATGTTAAAGTATTATGTAGTAATCATCAGCTAGTTCCTTGAAAAATATTAGAAATCTGTTCCATTTTAAAGTAAGTTAATGTGACCAAACTTTACTACTTTGGTGTCTGCTGTATTAGTGGTAAAAAATTAGATATAAAGCCTGATCTACTTTAATAGACCCGTTCTGAACCGGTATAACTTGAATTGATGTAGTTACACTAGGGTAAAACTGATGCAGCAAAGAAAGAAGTACATACTGTGAGGGGTCCTCCTGAAATTCTCCTTTGACAAACAGTCTGTGAAATTCCAGTATTTTAAGAGTTAATATTTTGGTATCCAATATTTTAATTGGGAA